TCGTCGCAATATCGGCGTTTCTGGAAGTTACTGGTGACGACAAAGGGACGTTTCGCAACTTTGGGAAGCAGTTATTTGAGGGTAAAATTTCCGCTTCGGAATCGAGGCAAAGATTAAACTCCGTGATATTGTGGAGCCGTGCGCAGTGTATACGTGGCTGTAGAGCCGAAATTCCGCCACTGTCAACAACGCTACCGGAGACACCCAGAAGGGGTGTGTTTAATGGCGTCGGTAACTTTTGAGAGATGAGGGTGTGATGGGGAATGGCGAGAAAAAAAAAACGGGAGAAGAGAAATATAAAGGTGTACGACCAACACACACACACACACAATTAGAAGTCAGGAAGTGCATAAAAATGTTTGGGAGAAAGGGGAGGGGGTAGGGATGGAGGGTTGAAGGGGGATATCACTTCCACCAAATTTCTTATTATACCTTTCTCAAATCTCTGGACACTATATTAACAGGAGGCTATGGTCTGGAGATGAAGCGGCCGCCTTCCCCTTTACCCTTTCATGTTCCTTTTTACTTCGACGCCACAAAGGGGGGGAGGGGGGGCGGAGTAGATTTCTTCCCGCCGTCATCCTGTTTCGACCCCCCCCCCCCCCCCCTGCTTAAATGCTTAAAGGAGTTTTAACTCAGCGACGTCGAGGTACAGAACAGTGTACACTTTTCGAACAGTAGTTTATAGAGGTTCAGGAATGAAAACGGTACTCGTTCCATAAACTCACGAGCGGCCATGAACTCGAATTTTCTAGAATTCCGTGACCGGGCGCTGCTTTCTCGACCCTGCGCGGCAATAGTACAAAGTGGAAGGGTCGAACCATCGAGTTATTACAATAAACACTAGAGGTTCAGCTGGCGCTAGTGTGCTGTTGTATTTTGAAGCAGACAGCAACCAGCCTAAATATGACTTCCGGTAATGTATTCCTATGGGAAAACGCAAATCGGTTTTCTCTTGGCGCTCGAATATAAGAGCAAATACTGCTTAGTGTTGTGACAGATTAAAAAGTTTGGAACGTTTTACAAACGGATGTACAAAAATAGGTGTCAGTTAGAGAGTTTGTCTTTGGAATTCATGGCGTTGAACACTGCGCTAAAATAGCCCAATACACGTGTATAATACGTGTTGACGTTGCAGACTGCTATTATAGGGCACGTATTTACAGATATAGTCAATGCTATCAAGCACAAAGAGTAAATCAGCTTGACAAAGCACCGAAAGGATATCAATATATGCCAAATCAAACAATCAAAACAGACAACAAAAACGAAGCATGGAGTTATGGAACGAAGAACACGTACTGCATTAGTAACAAACTGTGCATTAGTAACAAACTGTGTTTCCGTCATCTTAATGCTATTACAGCTTGAATAAACCCCACGCACATTTTAATTGTTCTTTTAGACCGCAGCTCTTAAGCGCCCGTTTGCGCGTTGAGCGGAGTCGGTGTCGCCGTCGGCGTCGGCGTAACCTCGCGTCGTACTATGGGATGTGTGACATCACACGTGACGTCACGAGGGTTACTTTCGTGAGGATGAATCCCGTGACGGTTACCCCATTGAGGGTTACCCTCACGAGGGTAACCACGGGGGTGAGGTTAATTCTCAGTTAGGTGAGGTTAACCCTCACGGGGGTAACCCTCACGGGGTTTATTCTCACGAAGGTAACCCTCATGGGGCTAACTCTCAGGTGGTTACCCTTACGAGAGTAACCCTTACGAGGGTTATCCTCATGAGGATAACCCTCAGAGGGGTTACCCTCGTAGTGGTAACCCCTGTGAGGGTTACTCCCGTGAGGGTAACGTAACCCCCCGTGAGGGTTACCCTCACACTCAGGGGGGTAAAAGCAACCGTCAGGGGGTAACCCTCGCGGGGGTTACCGTCGTGAGGGCTACCCTCGTAAGGGTAACCCTCGTTAGAGTAGCCTTCGTGAGGGTCACGAGGGTAACGTCAAAACGTTACCTTTGTGACGCCATGTGACGTCATTATGGCAAACACGTGACGTGTGACGTCACAGGGCGTATGACGTCACACGTGACATCACGGGATGTCCACGCATCTAACATTGGCAATATTGCCGCTAAAGTTAGCGGGGAAGGAGGAGGCGCATGCCCTTCCCTCCGTACCCTCCCCTCCTCCTCCTTAAGAGCTGTGCTCCAATTATGCGTTATACAGAAAATTGTAAACGTCTTTCATGTGTGTTGCTTGAATTGATAGCTCGTATTGATATATCACGCTGTACAACATAGACCTGGGCCTTAATTTTGGCTAACTTAAACATCGCTCAGTAATTAGAACAAAAAAAAGAAAGATGTTTGCAATCCCCTGTAATGCCCAATTAGAGCACAGCTGTTGAGGAGGAGGAGGGAACTGTACTGGAGGGAGAAGGTGGAAAGTCCCCCACTACTAACATGGGTGTGGATCGACGTGTGCTTAACGGAAGTTGCAGAAAATACACATCCTTGGTGAGAGCATCGCGTGTAAATTTGGCGGTAATTAAGCGGGGCAATTCTTTCCCCTAATTTTAGCGGGGAAATTTTTACCGCTAGTGACGTCACTCGTGCCGTAACTGGTGGCCCTTGTGACGATGACGATGACGTTATCGTGATGACGTCACCAGTGAGGTCACGCGGCTCATAATGCGCCGCGCAATTACGCCGATGGCGATGGCGACGGCGACGCCGCTCAAGCCGGAAACGGGCGCCTAAGAGCTGCGTTCTAAAAGCCATTAACTAAATTAATTATACTTTTACAATGTGAATAAAGCTACACGTACCCTTTACGAGTAAAGAAACTACACTGATTTCTATTATTCCCTAGTGAAGACAAAAATATTAGTTACGTTTTCCCATTGAAATATACAGGAAGACTGCAAAAGTAGACTGTTTGCTGTCTTCTTCAATTCGTAACCGGATGTCCCGTAGACACTAGCGCCAGCTGAGGCTCTAGCGTTTATTGTAATAACTCTATGGGAGGAACGGAGCAGATAAAGTGAAGGTTGGATGGATGGATGGATGAATACGGCTGAAGCCTTTAAATCGGGCGGCGGCTGGCGCCACCTAGCCAAGGCTTCTGATTCAAATGAGCTACCCGATTAAATTCATTATCAGTGAAGGAGGGCGAAATAACTTTATGTCGTTCCTAGGCAGATATATTCATGTGCCATTCTCCACAACATATCATTCTTTCTTCGACTTATGCTACCAATCCGAAAACCTGTGCTTGGTGATCTCCGTTTACGCCGCGTCTATTTTCCGTAGTTGCCTATAAAGCGCAAAACTTTCACTAAAAATGTATCGCCCTGAACAACTGCAGGGTGAAGTCTTTTACAGAATAAGTGTTCAGCCGTCGTTTTTTTGTCCTTCCCACATGCCCCACACACCGTGTCTATGTCTTGATATTTCGCTGTGCACTCCCTAGTTCGTAACGCCTCTGTCTTGGCTTCAGAAAACCAAGGAGCTTCCCTTAGATTTGTCATTGACTTTCCTTAGCAACACCCATCGTTAAGTCTCCAAAGTCTACTTAGTCTATACTCCTGCTTCCCGTACTTCCCTCTCCGCCGCTGCTTTAACTCTCTTCGTAACTGTCATTTCCAGATCTGCGCCATTTTCGCCCACCTGTTTTGACCTGAGTTTTCGTGTCCGCTTTCTCCACTTTGTGTCGACGCCCTTTATGTTCACATAGCCAAAAAAAATCTCCGTGCCTATCGTTCTTCCTCCATGCCCCTTAGCCTCTTTTCAAATTCTAACTTACTACTAGCTTCCCGGCCCTCAAATGATGTCCATCCCATATTGACCCTTTGATTCAGTGTTTTACCATGCGCTCCCAACGCCATTCTAGCCACACCGTGTTGCTTTACTTCTGACCTTGGTTGGATACCAAATTTCATACAAAGAACTGCATTGTCAAAATTTAAACTCCGCACCATAACTCCCTTCCAATATTTCATCACCACCTCATCTCTGTTATAATTCCACAAAGCTATATTATTTATCACAGCTGCATTTCTCTTGCCTTTACCAATTGCATATTTTTATGCTCAGTAAGATAATCCACACTATCATGAATCCACACTCCTATGTACTCATATAATCTGCCCCCTAAACCAGACATTCTTGGATTTTAAGTTTTTTTCTTGTTGCCAACATTGAAAATCATGACACTGCTGCCTCATTGTTACTAAATTCTAAGCCTAGCCTTCGTCCATCGGTACCACATATATTCATTATTTCCTGTAGATCCGCATTGCTGTTCTCAGCAATTAGCACCATATGACCCGCGCATACACGAGCTGGTAATGCCTGTTTAATCTTTTGGCCTCCCCTGGGGTATTGCAGGTCAAAACTACGACCACTATTCTCCAGATTTTACTCTAGCCCTTATAAGTACAACACGAGCAGTAAGGGTGATGAAGGACATCCTTCTCTTAAACCTCGCTACATCTCAATTGGTTCCGTTGCATTTTTCTCACATGTTACTTTTACCTCGTTATCTCTGTAAACATTTTTAACAAATTCCAGCGTTCTCTTCTCTTCGCTGCCTTTTGTGTGATGTTTTATCTGTGTAACCGCGGCTTTTAAGAGCAGTAGGGTGTGCCTGCCTATTGACACGTACTGCTCTATCACACTCAATTGCTTAGTGGCCGGTTGTTAGCTTTTCTTCTAGCATATGCTCTCTAGGATTGCAAGCGCAACACCAAACGTCAAAATTTGCGAATCGGCTACAATTATAGGGATGGTCCACTGCTCCCAAGAGGATGAGCGAGAAGATACTATTCTACAGGCTGTGTTCCAAATCCTACCCAAATAGATCCGAGTTAGTCCGGCGGGTCGTGTCACGTGACAACACAGGTTGAAAAGCGCTGGACGAGGGTAGGTTTTGGAACACCAAGGTACAAAACCCTTACCCTGGAGTAAGATCGAGTAAATTTTGGAACACGGTCATAGTCTTAGGATGAAGATGCTGCCTGATTGAAAGCGTGCGCTGCTTTCTTCTCGCAGGCGATCATCTTCCACGTCATGGAACACCCGCAGTTCCCGGAGTTCGAGCAGTGCGTCACCTTCGCCTCGTTCCCGTCTTCCTGGCACGAGCGACTCTACAACCTCTTCTGTCTCCTGGCCCTGTACGGGCTGCCCCTGGCCGCCATCATCGTCTGCTATTCGCGCATCTTCTGGGAGATACACCGCCAGTCCAGGGACCCTCAAGGTATACTCGTCGATTCCAACTACAGCGCCCCGGAACGCCGTCTCCGCCCACACATTCAAACTGCTTACGAAGTGTCAACAAATGACGTCACAGAAACCGAAGTGTCATGCTGGTGGATGTCGCGATCCTGGTGGCTGGGGCTAGAAGCTTCCGACGAAAAAGTACGAGCGAACGCGAGTGTCGCTGTCGTCCTGAAGTCCCGACTTCTGGATGTCGAAGCTTCCGTGGACTGTAAAGCTGGAGGGCAACCTTCGGCGGTACAGGCGTTTGCCACGTACACAACAGCTGTTGGGACGCCGCCAGGATCGCGGCCGGCGACAGCGTGACACTTCTATTACGTCATCAGGCGGAAATCGAGTGACCACTATTTCGGACGCTGTAGACACACTATTCGCAGACGCGCTCCAGGCAGCATACCCCAACGGCGTGCATTTCCTTAAAACCAACTACAAAACGTTCCAAAGCCCAATTTAGTTTTAAACAAAGCCGCTATAAATAAGCCAATTAACGAAATGCGAGGAAACTTTCAACAAGTGTGTTTTTAGGTGAGGCATTAATCGTACTCGAACTTCGTGATTGTAGTTTGCAGGAAACAAATTAAAAAAAGGAAAACGTTGTAGTACATTGCGGGGGGAAGACAGGAACAAAGTGGTTCACGCTGACACTCCATGAGGGCACCATAACACTCTCGTATCTGCTGTATCTGCTTTGGGATATTCGTAGAAAGTTTCGAGGTATTTCTTTCGCGTCGTGGCATCTGTGAGTATAGAAGCAACACCACCTAGAAGACTAGGCCTTTCCCCTCCCCAAACGTCATCCCTTCCACAGAGCCTACCTTGCGTTAGCACGCGGCGATACCAAGACGGACGCGTCTGCCGCTTGGTGCGGGATCCACTAATGATGACGTCATATGCAGGCCTTGGGTCTCTACGTGGTATTGGTAGAAGCCTGAACCAGGAGGTTTGTTTCCGTTCTGCTGTCTCCTCGAGCCCCCCGCCTAAACAACCGCTCGAACCTTTTCTTTTTTTGCGGTAAACGTTTTCTGCTACTATCTACTCTATGCGCATTGGAATAACACCATCGTTTTGGCCTGTTTCTTTTTTTTTGTTCCCACAAAAACCTACCCGACGCTTATACAATTTGGGTTTGATAAATGCACCACGTGAAAACATCTTCGTGAGAAGTTTTATTGAGCTCTCTTTGTTCATTTAATATATTTATTACAGCCGCTCTGTCACTCGTGTTTGTTCGCAGCTTCTTGCCTGTTTGAGTCTTGCGTTTTGTTAATTCTGTGTGCGGGAGTCGCTCTCATGAACAGTAATCATTCATTCTATACATCTTTATTCACAAAACAAAAACTCACAGTTTTTTTTTGTGTGGTCTTGATTAGATGACGCCGCAAGCTAATAGCCTGCAAAACGATAATAAAAAGGTGGAGGCTCTCCCACCCTGCTTTTCTTAAAATGTCGGAAACCGCACGCGGCCGCCAACGGCCAGGCGGCGCCAGCGGGGTGAGAGCCCACGGTTATACCCTGTCTCGTTGTAACTTGTCAAGAGTGAACGCTACGCCCAACATCGCGTTTCGACGGCGAATTTGATATGCGCTGCGTATACGAGCGCACCGAACACATCTTGGAGCGTGACGCACCGGAAAGCCTTCCTCGTACACTGTTAGCAAGTCCCGTGTATTTGGCGAATATTTGGGGTGAAAAACACGCTATTTACACAAATTACCATAAATTTACACGATGAGTAACGGATAATTCGTTCAGAAATCATGCGAGGTTGTAAAAAACGTGTTTTGGTTCGGTCATACACGCATAACCGTGTAGCCGGCCTCGATAACACGCATCGCCCCCGGCGACGACCGCGGCATTGCCGGCTATCGAAGCACCGGAATGCTTGGGGACACACTTAGAAAGGACCGTCGAGACAAAGGCCGCGGAAAGAAACATGTCTTGGAGACAGATTTGCACCAAAAGCAACTGCGCCATGTCGCAGGACGTTGGCGAAACCCGCGCTTACCGTGCTCGCCGCCATCCTCTGGTCGATGGCAATGCGGCTTCCCTCATGTCGCCCATGTTTGTATTTAGTTTAGGGGTCCTGATAACAGTTTTTTAGACACCACAAATAAAGTCATGGGTCTAATTATTCGTTCCAAACAGCTAAAATGGATATAAAAAGCGTGTCCTCGATGTGAACACGTGACATTGCAGTTGGTTTCGTTTTTGCTTCAACCTTCAATTGCAAGCGATCTGGCCACGGCGCAAGCGCAACGCCGATGTACGCTGGAAGCAAGCGCCGGTTGGCTTTCGTTGTTTTTGTTTGACCGGAGAAAATCATGGCAAGTACGCATGGCGCCGCTACTGTTTTGGTTTGACGGGACGCGAGAAGCTTCGCACAGAGCTTCGGAGTTTGCGAGCACATAGTGAAGACGTGACCGGAAAAGTGCCCCTGTGATGTTCCTGGAAGACGGAAAGTAGCATTCGTAATCGTCGTGTGTGCTTTGAAAGCGAAGGGAGTCACAGGGTCCACGAGTTCGCAACCACCAGCCAAGGTTCACGACAGCGCGGCGTTGACTTTGGCGATCTCGTTCTGTTTGGTGCAACCCGGTGATGCGAAAAAGAGCTGAAACATTCGTCGTGTGTGGTGCGGTGCTTTGTATTCCGGGTCTTTTTGAACCACGCTTTTAACACAGAGTGCAAATTGTTTGTTGCGTGGTGGAGGTTCAACGGGTACAGTCAGTCCCGTCGTCGTCAGCTGATCCGGTCCAGCTGGTCCGGGAGGACGCAGCGAGCGTTTTTAAAAGTAAATCTTCCTTCGTTCCGTTTCAAACTGTGGAAGTATCCCGACACATACCGTGAGTAAGAAGCAGCGGGCGTTTTCAACAAAATTACGTTGTTTTAATTGAATAATAGACTCCGGATTGTTGTCTTAAATCTGCCGTTTTTTATGCTTCGTGTTGGACTGCGTTTGCATAGCGACGCACACGGCTCGAGTAGATGATTCGGTCCTGCAACGAGTTTGTTGCGCGAATCATGCGGCGTGAATAAATTAGGGCAAGGTTTCCTACCTGCCCACAGATGCATGTACTGAGACCATTTTTTATGTTGTGAACGTAGTGCTCTTTCTTTATTTTGGAAGACGCGTTGGTGCATTTATTGTAGTACAATCGCTTGAGAGTTGAGAAATTGGAGAGCGAGCAAGCTTTCTCAACTTCGTCTCTCTCTGGCACTGCCCTGTTTCAGTTTCAGTAGGCATATCTACTAGCAGGTACAAACTGCTCTAAAGCAGGTAAAAAACGGGAAGCTTAGGACAGTGCGGACTCCGTGTTTCACGCTTTTCGCAAGGTGACAGGGTAAATGCTTTCGTGAGATATGCGGAATATGCAAGCGATTTTGTTATGCCCGTCGTTTGCGTCTCTCCAGCAAAACGAATAAGATGATCTACTACAAAGGCGCAATCACAAGCCAAGATTTAAGATAGCAGTCGTTTGCTTCGGTGATCCGTGTAGCTGTATTTTACCCTGCTCTCTGCAACACCATGTCATGACGAAGAGCTGGAACGGTCACGGTTTGTGCTGGCCTCCCGGTTGACAGAAACCCGCGTCGCCCGCATCGGCACCGAGTGCGCTTGGGCTGTTGATGCTCAAGCCTTTCATCCGCGGCTTGTCGCCAGCTCATCCTGCTGCTCAACGGTGAGGAAGCGGCGAGAGTAACCTCGGAAGTGAATGTAAATCCTCGTTCATTCAGTTATCCGGTGTCAAAGTGTGAAAGATGTCCAACGTGTACTGAGGGCGGGAACTACGAGCGTTTTGCCTTGCTTTTATAACCGAAACCAGACCAACGAGATAACTGCCTTGCGTACTCTAAAATGACGGAAGCAATAAGTTTCAACAGGTCGAGTACGTCACCGGGGATGTAGGCGAGACGGTGCACACTGTTTAAACGCTTGCAGTATCCACGAGTGGTACCAGGAAAGCGACGTCAACAAAGAAGGAGCTCGCGATTCAGCATAATGCACTGCTACGGGCCCGTGTATCTTCAAAGTTCGGGGCGGTGGCAGTATAAAAAAAAAGACGCATCAGCGCCCCACACCAGTGTTCACGAATAACACCGGTCACAAACTCTCAAGCCCCACCGCTCTTCTCGACACCGACGCGACATACGACAACAAACTGCATCAAAACGCCCCAAAAGTGAAGGCGTCTGCTCCCGTACTGCAACTGCTGCAATTAGCGGAAGTGAAGTCTTGGGCGGATGTCCGGATGTCCTTCACAAAAATATATAAAAAATGCTTTGCGCCAGGATCATTTTCATTTATTATTGTATACGTAATGACAAAATCCCAATAATTTGTTTTCCTATCTGATTCAAGCTAGTCGGACTACTCATAACATTGGTCAAGCAAGAAAATAACAAAAATTTGAACTTTTTCATGTCAGGTTTAAGATTTATTGTGAACATATCGTTATTTATTGCAACGGACTAACATTATAGATTTTGCCTCCATACTTTTTAAATGCAAACAGTTCTAACACACGGCTGTCCATTGCGCCGTGTTTTGTGTATTCTTATATAAATCTGTAATGGTCAGCGACCAAAGAGCTCACCCGCACATGTCAAGCTTATATGCGCCGCGGGGAGAAATGGATATCGAGTAGGAAGTGTCGGGCGTAGTGTCGGTTGTTGTGTACATATCGGTGCTGTGTAGCTGTGTGCTGTGTTGCCTGCGTTGTATGTAGGGTTGCTGTGTAGTCGTGGTCGTTCGCAGTGTTAACAGACTCGTCTTTTTTTTAACAACAGGCTGCTAGAAATCTCGATAGGTGGCGCAAGTTACCGCCCGATTCTAAATAGTTTGCTCAAGTTATTTATCCATGTAAGTTCGGCATTAGTTTTTTTTTTTTTTTTGTCTAGCGGCTCGTTGAAGCTATTGACGCCGCCGACAACGCACGTACGTACCTTTGCAAGTAGCTACGTCCGCCGCTTGGAGACTTTACT